GGGGGGTAGCACGCAGCGGGGGGGAATGTCGGGGGAAGGGGATCCCGTTTGGTGTCGGGGTAAGGGCGCGGAATGGGGATGGGGGGGGGAGTCGGGATCGGGGAATCGCGCGAGAATCGTGTGGGAATCAGGGTTGGGAAGGGCGGAGGGGTCGCGCGGGAGGATCGTGCGGGGATGGCGAAGTCGCGGGAGGGCGGGAAATGGGACTGGGTAGGCGGCTGGGGAAGAGAGGATGGCGGGGAGGAGAAGAGGAGGAAAGAAGAAGAAGAGGAAGAAGAAATGTGGAGAGGGACGAAGAGAAAGAAAGAGAAAAACATAAAATTGCTGGTAACTTACCTGCAGGTCGGCGATGGCAGCGGGTACTAGGCAACGCTGACACTGACGTGGCAGTGGTGACGGAGATGACGATGGCGATGACATGGCAACGACAACGGTGACGAGGTAACGATGATGTTGATGACGTGGCAACTCGACGACGACGACGACGATGCAGATAGGACAGGGCGGGAGGGAGGGCCGAAGCCGCTCCGATACCAGTGTGACGGGGCTGAGGCAGAGCAGCGAGGTCGGGGAAGAGAGAGGGAGGGAGTGAGAGCACACGCACATACTCACTCAACTCGACACAGACTCGACACGACTCGACGAACACGGACACAAAGTGGCAAAGTGGCAAAGTCGCAAAGTCGCAACCTTGGTTCCGTACACAATGTCGCAGAAAGTCACACTGAAGCACAAGCACTGAGGCCGAAAACTGTGTCCCCCGAACTCAGCTTGAGTCCGGTCTTAAGTACCAGACTCGAGTTGAGTCCGAGGGCAAAAGTGCAATTTGCCTCGGGGCTGAACTGAAATCGAAGGTCTGAGCCTGGGCGGCAGAATGCCGGATGGCGCCAAGTACGAAATCCGAAAGTGGCAGAGGCGGGATTTGAGAACGGGAGCCAACTGCAGAGGGCGCCAACAGTCAGGAACCGGAGATCAGAAACTCCAAAAAAAATAGAATAGCAGCCTGCCCGGTGGTACCCCGCGGACCAGGGATCGAGCCCTGGCTGAGTCCGTAACACGGGCAGTGTGGGCAATGCCCACACAAAAATAACGTGAACACGACTGAATACTTTGTAAGAAACATATGTGCAGCACAATTTGTTCACAAAAAAAACACACGTCTCTCTCTCTCTCTCTCTCTCTCTCTCTCTCTCTCTCTCTCTCTCTCTCTCTCTCTCTCTCTCTCTCTCTCTCTCTCTCTCTCCTCCTTGAAAAGTGGACAGTGGATTGGAGGCTGACTGGCCTATCAAAGTGAAGGACCTCAGAGCGAACAGTTGATGCAAGGAAACATTGGGGCAGTGCCGTGAGCGCAGGCTCATTCACTGACTTGATGGAGACGGTGCACGAGGTGGGATGACCATCACCCTGGCACCATGGACAGCACATTCTGACAACGAATATACACAACCCAAAGCAGTAGCATAACTGGATCCAAAACCGATAGATTACACATCATTACAGCAATATAATCCGAGGTAGGGCTATACCCCAGCGGGCTAGCAGACCCTGCAACCCAGTACTGTGAAATGGGGCCACATTGAGGGCCTGGTCATGCTGGTCACTGTCACTAGGACGCCCAAGCACACAGATCCTGAGTAGTACCGCTAGATGATCCTCAGACCTGTACTGGGTCACAAGACACCAAACGTGCAATCCGCAACAACAAACTATGAAGGTCCTGCAAACACAACAAAGATGTGGACCACACACCTTGCAAAAAGTCCTACCATACCACAATATAGTCCTAAGCAAGTTTCTATGTGTCGAGCAAGAGAAGAAAGAATGTCCAGCAGGGTCTGTAGGGGCCGAATATGAGTGCCTAGAAATTTCTTGAAGGTATACAGGATATCCAAAGAAACAAATACACCTAAAACACACACATACCATGAGAACTCCACACAATGTGCCATGCTCAAGTGTTAGTACCTCCAATGCATGCCAAAAGCAAGCATCACAAAGTAGGACCATACTGAAGGAGAGAAATCGCGGAAGTACCCTTAGAATCCATCGGAGTGGTGACACAGAAGAAGTCAGATGTCGAAGTAGTAAATCTTGCAACACAACGTAGGAGTGATGGTTTAGAGAGGCCGACAAATGCCGCGCAAAGAGTCAAGAGTCAAGACTCAGAGAGGGCAGCCATACAAGGAGTATATAGTATGTATATCAGGCTCTGACGGGTGGAGTGGCCAAGTCACTACTGCGGCACGTAACGATTAAAATACAAACCTAAATACATAGGGCGGTCTACGATATGGAGGCAAAGCCTGGTAGGAGACAAGTCAAAGGAGACACAATGTGATGGATGTGTCAACACATGCACATAAGGGGGGAATGTGAGAAACAAGGTCTTGCAACTACTTACACAAGCATGGAACAAGTAAAGTGGGTCAAACTGCAAACACGAGATACCAAAGCACCTCTAGACTCGCTAGTGCCCATAATCCTATATGACACCAAGCAAGAGCTCATGCAGGGAGACTTACGTAAAGGATGGGCAAAGGGGAGGCTTGACTGCACTGAAGACACGCAAAGACAACGCTAGTACCCTTATGCTCATACGCAATCAGGGAAGATCTCAGAATGGGGGTGGTAACCTATGCAATGCAGGGTAGACCATCATGTAACACAAACATGAACAGAGGGGAAGAAATTCCGAGAGCCATGGTGGCTAGGTCCCAGCTGGAATACTTAAACTGAAGTTTCCAATGCAAAATAATGTTCACTCTCAATGAAAATGAACTGAAGTAGACTTGTCTCAAGAATGATGAAGCCGAAGCTGGAGTCAGCGACGCTGGCGACATGGCGATTTCAAACAAAACCAACATGTGACAAAATGGACGAACAGAAGAGGAGTGGTGGGTCAACACGATCAGTTGTCATAATGACGTCGACGAAGGCGAATGTGTCCTGGATGAAAAGATGCATCATCCCCTTGCTTAGGCACCATAGTCAAGAGGTCCACATGAGCAGAGACAACGGCCTAAGAAGTGGCCAGAATGTACTAATCTCACTCAAGCCCTGAAATCATCCTGGAAATAATACCAGGAATGCAGTGGCCTGGGGTCAAGCCCCCATGTGGATGAGGGTCATGTACTGGACTGGAGCGAAGTGTGGGTGCCTGTGTGGCATTGTCTGTTGTCATGTTCGCTATACACAACCCCACAGAAAAAAGCATGACTGTGCCAGACTGTTTTGTCTGGCTTTCACTGACTCATCAGGATTCAGGAGGTTGAACCCCGAGAGTCTGCCCAGGATGCATTTGACTGATGGATAGGGACTTACCCTGTCACCCAGGTACCCCTGAAAAAAGTGGTCGCCTTTACGCACACCAAGTTGAATCCTGTAATCTAGCAGACTGTCGATCCAAACCCTGACAAGAATGGCAGTGAGTCTGAGGAACTGGTCTGTCACAGCCATAAAACCTAGTCTGTGGGTGTGTGAGCAAGGACACTACAGCAATGCAGGGGTGCACTGGATATGGTTCCAGTTCTATAGACCGTGTCATGGCTGTAGTGGTCAACAGATTTGGCTCTTGTGCTAAAGGTGTGGGTTTGATTCCATGTGTGGCAGGGATGGATCTGAGGCCAGAAAGTACTTGTGTTGTCTTTACAGTGTTTACACTGTTGCTTCTTGGCTTTCCAATACACAATACTGGAATCTCTCTCTCTCTCTCTCTCTCTCTCTCTCTCTCTCTCTCTCTCTCTCTCTCTCTCTCCT